TAAACAAAAAATGAAACGGCAAACAAATGTTTCATAACATTCCGCATACTGACTAATTTTCTAACGTTCAAATCTTTCAAAAGAATGATGCAACAAAAAAAAAAAAAAAAATCATTGAAAACAATGAAACATACAAGACAAAGGCCTCTCCAATTGGTGCAAATCAAAAAAAGACCAAAATTACAAAACTCCTGATGAAAGACGCACTTGAAGAGAAAGAACCAAAATTAAAGTTCTCTCAAATCAACTTCACCTCTTTCTTTATAGACGACTGACAGACAAAAATAGTACTCACTCTCATTGTTGATAAATCTGGTGAAAGTCGTATTGGTAATTGTGTAATGTGAGGAACTTGCAAAAGAAGAATGCAGTTGGAGAAATGCCAGAGAACCATAAGTGCACAAAAACTCAATCTTTCACATTTTAAATTATAACTGCAGATAGTTATTCAAAATCTCAACAAAACCCATACAGTTGACTTAAATAACAACATATCAATCTATGGCTTTTAAACACATTATCTTACTGCTCACATTTAATAGCTGTCAATTACAATCAAATAGTCGAAATATTAATCTACAAAGTTACAACCCATAAACTTCAGGTAGATGTACATTGATACCGTATAAAAGAAAACCATAACTCTTAACTCCTATTACCAACCTTTTGGAGCGTGATCGTGATCGTGAAGGAGAAGGAGTTCTTGACCGATGCTCAGATATTCCCTTTGAGCGAGAACGAGACCTACGTCTATGTCTGTCTTCTCGGTCTTTATCATAGTCTCTCCTCCTATAAATGAAACAAACCAATTTAATTGCCATTGCCTCTGATTAGAATAAGAAATATTAACCCAAAAAAGGTCGGAGCACTTAAAGTTCCTTTATACACTACATGACAATGCAGGTGACCTTGTTCTAATTTTAAATCCCTAAAGTGCAAGAGGTAAGGGCCAAGAATGCATTATGAAAAACAAAAGCTAGGCAAATTAATACAGAAACCACTATCAGTAGAACTATAAAATGTAAGCAGAAAATAATGATATTAAACTTCCATTACCTGTCATAGTCTCTACTCCTGAAGTAATCATCATCATCTCTACTTCTTCCTCTTTCCCTCCTATCACCTCGATCCCTATGGCGGTCTCTATGATGACGGTCATGATCCCTATCACGGTCTTTGTCACGATCCCTATCCTTTTCTCGATCTCTTGCTCCGTCCTTGCTTTTCTCTCTGTCCCTTTCTCTTCCTCGGTCCCGATCCCTCTCCCTGTCCCTCTCCCGATCACGCCCCTTGTCTCTTTCTTTTTCTCGACTTTTTGAACTCTCTCTTTCATAGTCTCGAGAAGCATGCTGTAAAAAATTGATTTGTCAGTAACACTTGATTTCTTCAAAATCTTTTAATTTACAAGAAACTATTTCAATCATAAAATTATATATAAGAGGAAGGGGAGGAAAAGCCTCAATCCAAGCTAAGGAAGAGAATACAACAAAGACCTTTTAATGCGGGGGAGAGCAAGCAGAAACAGATCCAATTCCCAAAATCCACCCAATTGCCTAACGTCAACTAAAACAATGTCTCCCAATGAAAAAGAATACAGAGAATTAACTTATGGTCAATAGGTTTCTCCAAAACCATGAGCAACTCCAAATACTAATGGATTTCAAATGAATTCCATCGTTCGTAGCCAAAAGTATCCCCAAAAATAGGGGAAAGATAGAAAAGGCGGGGAGTTTGCTAGATAGACATTATCTCATAGTACCTTTTGATTGATGAGAGATATGAACAAGAACGAGGTAACATGGAATAGGTGTTTGGTTTGGTTCTATTGAGTTTACCTTGTTCAATCAGTCTCATTCATCTTTCTTGTCTTGTTTTCGTCCACTGACCTATCACTGTAAGTCAGGGAATTTGAGACCAAGCGTTCTCTTGACTTTTTGGGCTCCCCTACCCTATTTTGAGGTCCATTATGACCTTCCCTTATTGACTGGAAAAGGTAAAGTAAGGTAAAGAACCTTTTTTTTTTGTGAGTTTCGGGAATATCCCCATTAATAGGTCCGAGATCCACATCTCTGAATTATATAAGGGTTAAGATCCTAAATGCATTAATTCAGTTTTTACTTGGAAAGTCTTCAAGAAAACAATGGGTAGATTTCTTCGAATTTCATAGAATTTTTTTGTTGATTTAACCTTAAATCGTGATTGAAATGTTGTATTACTTAAACTGTTATTGTCTTATACTTCATAAGAAACGACCAAACAAAAATAATAAATTCTTTCTCGTTCCAAACAAGATATAGAGAATTAGTATTGGAAATCATGGAACTTAAACCATTTCATGAATTTTCTTGGCTCAAGATGGAAGTTTGAAGGTGATATTTCAGTCTTTCAAACTACTCAAAACTCAGACTACGACAGAATATCGAACTTCAACTGTCCCACTGATAACTGAAACTAAAGAATGGGACAGGTAAACTCGATTTGAGCTCCAATTGCAAATATTTTCAGGTTAGAAGCAGCACTACCATCGATTCCCAAAATCTCAGCTAAACCGTAAAATAACAAATGAATTGCGCATGTATCGTTCGAGAGTAAAAGACCTGAGATTTGGAATCACTGTGAGTATCATGGCCACCATGGCTGCCCCCACGAGCTTGAGGAGAAAAACCATCGCCATAGTTGTCTACATCTTCCCCATTACCTTCGTACCTGCCGTCGTAATCCGTCATGTCCAAATTTGTTGTATGATCCACCGAATATCGGTATGGTATTTGGAAATTTTTCTCGACAAAATTTTTGCTGAAAATTTTGAGGATGCAAAGCCAACGAGAATCCTAGGGTTAGGAAGAGAGTTCCCTCTGCTTATATATCAGTCTCTAAGTAGAAGCCCTCGCGGAAAGAGGCGTCCCCAATGGGTATTTTTGGTAATTCGGTAAACAATGGATAAATCTTTAGAGCTAAAATATTTTATTTTTCATAATTTTATATTTTATATTTTATATTTATTAATTTCTTCCGGTAACAAAATATATTTTTTCTCCTAAATTTTGAATTTATTATTTTTTTATATATATACTTAATATTCTTCGGTAATGAAATTTTTTTTTCCTCTAAAATTTGAATTTAAACATTTTGAAAAATAATATTCAAATTTTGAATTTAATCTCTAATTTATATGCTTTAAAATGTATGTTAATCGATCTGATTAATAAAAAATATGTTTTTCGTTCGAGATATTCTCTTACCGAAGTAGGTTCTAGTCACACTTTTAGCATACTACAAACGAAATTAGTATTAATTTAGTTTAATCCAAACTAATTTTTATAGAAACTCGTAAATCTCGACTTCAACTACTTTGATGGCTGCAGAGATCACTCCCTATGATCTAAGCTAATTCGTTCATAACTAAACCGTCTATTCGATCTCTTTATCTGCAAATTTCACAGCTCATTTGGTAGGTTGTGTTCCCTTCAACCGTCTATTCAACAACCTATTTTAGATTTCCCGTCGACTCAAAACCAACTTCAGTAACTTTACATGGCAAGAGGCTTCGACACGATGGATGCCCAATCCCTACTGTGTAACGAGGGTCATCTTTCAACTTCTTTAGGGACGGCAACCAAATGAAGGATGAAAATAACTCGTTGCCAATCGAAAGTGACACGGGAGGAACTTAACCCACAAAATTTTCATTTATTTGATTTCGATAGACTAATTCCACCACTGACACACTAGTTATACTGCATCCTCTTTTATATATATATATATATATATATATATGTATTATTTATTATTATTATTTTTTTTTTCAGAGTAAATTATGGACACGTTGCTTGAAACATATTGACTGTCATTTCTTAATCACGTTAAGACAACTAGCCATCCACTCTATTAAACAACCATTTAAAATTTAATTCCAAGTTTTATTGATCAAATTTAAATTTAAATTTTATTATTACATAATTTTATTTCAAGTAATGTGTTTCCTAAGCCAATAAAATAAAAAAAAATTATTAATCAACCTTACATTGTATTCATAAAAAAGCATATAGTAAAAATAACATTAAGGTCAATTAATCTTCTTACACGTATTAAATTAATCTACTTAAGTTAGATGTGTGTGCTTCAAATAAAAAATTATTTATTTTTATTAGTCAATATATTTCAATTTTTCTAAGTGTTTTTATTCCAACATGAAATCCCAATTCTTTGAATTTAAATTTTATATTTCATAGGTCAACTTCATAATTATATATATATATATATATATATATATATATATATATATATATATATATATATAATATAGTGATTTAATTGAAAAAATCATATCCAAAGTCTTTAAACTTTGAATGGCGAATTAAATCAATCCAAAGACTTTGAAAAACTAGGTTGGATATGGAAGAAAAAATGTAAGGTTTTGTTTGACGTTCTAAAGGATAATGTGATTGTAACGATATGACGTTCTAAAACTTTAGTTTGATTGAGCTTGTTACAGTGTGCACGTTGATATTGTTGGATGATGAAAGTCCCACATCGGCTAATTTAGGGAATGATCACGGGTTTATAAACAAAGAATACTCTCTCCATTGGTGTGAGACATTTTGGGAAGTCTAAAGCAAAGCCATGAGAACTTATTGTGAAGAGTCGTGTTCATTCTAACATGGCATCAGTGTTGGATGACTAAGACTCCTAAGGAGTCGAGCCTCGATTAAGGGGAGAACCAAACAAAGGACTCCAAAGGGGTGTCAAGCCCTCCTCGAAAGCAGTAAAAAATGACTAAGACTCTTAAGGAGTCGAGCCTCGATTAAGGGGAGGACCAAACAAAGAACTCTAAAGGGGTGGAGTCGAGCCTCGATTAAGGGGAGGTGTACTTTGTTGAAAGGGAAGTGTTGAATGATGAAACTCGTAGAATTCTAGAAAACAAGACATGATAAGATAGGATTGATGGGAAGTTGGTGAAATTCAACCACCAAAATGTTGGAGCTTTGGTTTGTCGTGGTTACGCAATTTGCATTTGAAAAGAATATAGCGTTGAAAATCCAGATGGACGGAGAAGTGGGAGGAGTTGGTATTGGTTTTCGTAATCAAACCGGCATTTGACTTTCCGGTGGACATTTCCGCCGCATAGTCAAACATCGTGGGGTCGCTCCGTCGTGTCCGCCAATATTTTACCCTTCCTTCTCTTTGAATTTTCTTCCCCATCGAAGTCGCAATCAATCTTCCCTCGTGTTTCTGAATCCCAAAATGTTTTTCATTATTTTTCAATTCATATTTGGTCCGTTGTCAGTCTATGATGATTCGTATTTTATCTGGTCAAATTTGGGGGCAGGTCAAATTTTCAGATCTCTACCTACTTCTACTTCATCTTCTTCTTCCTCCTCCTCCTCCTCCTCTGATCTTCTTGAATCTTATCTCATTCGTGTGGTTCCTCCAATTATCCGCTGATCATCAGGAGGTTCCACGATGATTTCGACGGAGAAGCCGGTTGAGGCTCGCGCTTTGGAGTGTTTAGGGCGAGGGTTTGATCTGACGAATGATTTTAGGTTAAAATTTGTGAAGGGGAGTGGCGCCGGAGGGCGGAGGTTGGTGGTGATCGACGATGTAAATAAAAGAGATATTGTTTTTCCCGATGGAGGTGTTGTTCAGGGAGTTTCTCAGGACATTCGTTGCGATAAAGGAGATCGAATTCGCTTCAAATCCGATGTTCTTCAGTTCAATCAGGTTCTCCACTTTTTCCATGTCTTTGATCTTCTCGTGCACTTTGTGGAATTTACTCGACCTTTTCCATGTGATTAGCTTAATGGATAGTTTGAAAATTTTCACTTAGTTTTTTGATTTCATCTCATGGATTCAAGTTTGAATTGGATTCACGAGTAACAATAAAATTTCCCCAAAACTCTGTCAGTAGGCATATCTAGCATGAAGCTTTTTACCTGTTCATTTATTATCGTGGCGGGAATTCGAACATCTAACCTATTCGTCGAGGATATCTGCTAGAACTATACTCAGGTTGTTGGAAGTACCTAAGCACTGAACACAGCCAGGAGTGTTCCTGGCGTTGAACAAACATTTTTTTTTTTGATAACACTGTGTTCTTGTTCTTTTTTTGAGGAAGTTTGTTACTCTGAACATAGTTGAAAGTTTTCAATTATCAATGTCAAGTTTGTTTTTGTTTTACTTCTTGAAATGGTTCATGAACAAAAGAACAAAAAGAGGGAAAGCTTATTCTGAATAAATTGCACTGTTTTCACTGTACAATTCTGAAAAATTAAGATTCATAGGTTTGGTTCCATGTATTTCTGTGCAGATGTCTGAGTTACTGAATCAGAGATCCTCCATTCAAGGAAAAGTTCCTTCGGGCTATTTTAATTCTATGTTTAATTTGAGTGGAGACTGGTTTCATGATGCTGCTGATGCCAATTATCTTGCTTTTGATGGTTATTTTATCGCACTATACTATTTGCATTTAACGGCATCTCCACTTGTATTACAAGACGAAGTGAAGAAAGCTGTTCCATCCCATTGGGACCCAGCATCGTTGTCCAGGTACTTTCTACATATTGTTGCTTGTGTTCTCTTTTCGTATCAAGTGTCTGTTCAATTAATGTGAGATCTCACGTCGATTGGAGAGAGGAACAAAACATTCTTTATAAGTGTGAAAACCTCTCCCTACTAGACGCGTTTTAGAACTGTGAGACTGACAGCGATACATAACGGGCCAAAGTGGACAATATTTGCTAGCGGTGTGCTTGGGTTGTTACAAATGGTATCAGAGCCAAACACCGGGTGGTGTGCTAACGAGGACGCTGGACTCCCAAGGGGGGTGGATTGTGAGATTACATATCCGTTGGAGAGGGAAATAAAACATTTCTTATAAGGATGTGGAAACCTCTCCCTAGCAGACGCATTTTAAAATCATGAGGCTAACGACGATACGTAACGGCCAAAGCAGACAATATTTTCTTGCGGTGGGATTGGGCTATTACAAATGATATCAGAGCCAGACACCGGACATTGTGCTAGCGAGGACGCTAGACCTCCAAGAGGGTGGATTGTGAGATCCCACATCGGTTGGAGAGGGGAACGAAGCATTTCTTATAAGGGTGTGGAAACCTCTCCTAAACAGACGCATTTTAAAACTATGAGGCTGATAGAGATTCATAATGGGTCAAAGTAGACAATATCTGCTAGCTATGGGCTTGGACGGTTACACACGCGTTTCCAATTGTAGTTATTAATACATGCTAACTGTTTGAGTATCAGTCATAGCGGTTGCAATAGAATTAGTTGTGTGATAATGATGAAACATACAACATTCACATAGCTCTATACATCCTTTTTCCCCCACTAGGGGAGTCTTTTTTCTACCTATATTATGTCATCAAGTTGGTTGACAGTGATACCAAGTTTTCAATTTTTGTGGGTGGATAAGACAGATTTGTATTGAAAGAAAAGAAATACAATGAGGGGAAGGGAGTATGAGTAGTCCAGTGCTACACCTGAGAAGCTAGAAAGATTATAAGAAGCTGTCTAAATGGAACCAATAAAAAACGAAGGATATTGCAGAAGGCTTTATTCAAGGATTAGTTGAACCCGGTGTTTTTAGTGCACCTATAATATCAAGCTCGATATTTTGCTTCTTGAGTTTCATTCTATTTTAACGCTAATGAATTTTAGTAGGCAGGTTCATACAGACATATGGAACGCATATAATAGTAGGAACCGCCATTGGAGGTCAAGACTTAATTTCGGTACGGCAGAGACCTTCTTCGTCTATACCTCCTGCTGAACTTCGGAGACACTTGGAGGATCTTGGAGATATTCTGTTCTCAGATAAAAGAAGTCCTTCTTCTCTGCATAGAAAAAGAGACGTGAAGGTATATCTATATGCAAAAAATTGTTGAATTACTTTCTCTAAAAAAACAAAAACATGTTTTTTTAATCTCTTACCTTTTTTGTTGAGGTATATGTAACAACTCAGGCCCACCGGTAGCAGATATTGTCCTCTTTGGACTTTTCTTTTCGGGCTTCCTCTCAAGGTGTTTAAAATACATCTGTTAGGGAGAAGCTTTCACACCCTTATGCAAAAAATGCTTCGTTTTCCTTCCCAATCGGTTTGGGATCTCACAATCCATCTCCCTTCGGGGCCCAGCCTCCTCGTTGGTGCTCGTTCCTTTTTCCAATTGATGTGGTACCCCTCACCAATCCACCCTCCTTCGGGGCTCAGCCTCCTCGCTGGCACATTTCCCGGCGGTTGGCTCTGATACCATTTGTAATAACCTAAACCCACCACTAGCAGATATTGTCTTCTTTGGGCTTCCCTCAAGGTTTTTAAAACGCGTCTGCTAGGGAGATGTTTCCACACCCTTATAAAAAATATTTCGTTCTCTTCTCCAATGGATGTAGAATCTCAAAGTATATGTCTTAATTAGTTGAACTATGATCAAGTTGATTATGTTTTAAAAAATATTTTTTAAATGAATATAGCCTTCTCACGACGTGACTAGAATAAGATAACTGCGTCCTTGAGTTCTAAACTGTCTTCTCTTCTCTTGAAGGTTCCAGAAATATTTACAAAAATTTTGCAGTCAAGTTCGATACAGTTGGCCAATATTTCAGAAACATCAAGCAAGGATGTAAGTCAAGAAAGAAAAACCTGAATTTGTTTTGGAAAATTGTTTCAGCCCGTAATACTCTCTTCTTTACTTTCAACATAACAGGGAATCACCTTAATTTGTTCTAAACGAGGAGGGGATCCTTTCCTTCACAGTCATACCAGCTGGCTTCAGACTGTTAGCTTTAAACCAGAAGTTATTTTATTCAAATTTGTACCTATTACTTCTCTTCTTACTGGGGTTGCAGGCAGTGGTTATCTCAGCCATGCGATAAACTTGTACTTGCGCTGTAAGCTACTCCATGCTCGTTCTAGTTTTCACTCTTGTTCAACTTTACCTTCTTGCCTGTTTAATTTCCAGTCAAACTACTTGCAATATTGTATTACTTCTGGAGAAATAGCCTTTCAAAAATATATAGATCTTAATTCGTTTCATGCATGAAACTGTTGATAGAATTTACGGGACATTTTGATGTAAATTGAGCATTTTTATCCTTTAAATGGGATGTAAGTGAATAATCCTTAGAAGTTTTTCACTCCTAGCTGCACTTATTGACGTCTTTAATGGTGTTGGTTCATTAGTTGATCCTCCTATTCTTTTCTCTGAAAATAGTATTACTATTCCCCACACTGTCAATATAGATCTGACTGACTTGATTCTGCAATTTTAGATAAACCTTCTTTGAACGACTTGCAATACTTCTTGGAGTTCCAAATTCCGACACAATGGGCACCAAACTTCTGTGAGTTGCCTCTTGGGCATCAGAGGAGAAAGGCCACCTGCCCTACCCTGCAGTTCACTTTTATGAGCCCTAGGACGTACATCACCTCCACCCAGGTACTCAATTTTTCCTATTGGTATTCTACAAATGTTATGAAACCATCTTTACCAAAAGAACAACGCTGCATAGCAATGTAAAATTGAAGTATGTTTCTTGTGTTTCTCTGGTTTTGAGCAGTCCATTGATGCTAGCTGATTCTCATTCACTGTTGACCATGTTTTGGTATTTAAACTATCCTTTCAGGTCACAAGTAGTAGGAAACCATTAGTTGGTCTTCGCCTCTATTTAGAAGGGAAAAAGTCCAACTGGTTGGCTCTACATGTACAACATCTAACCAGCCTTCCAAAAGTCATGGCTAGATTGATTGGCACATCTGATCAATCAAGACGAAGCCAGTGGGTAGGCACCGACGACAGCGACTCCAATGGTCGATTCCTCGAACCTGTCAAATGGAAAAGATATTCAAATGTGTGCACTTCAGTTGTCAGGCACGATCCCAACTGGTTGAAGCAAGATGGAAATGGTGTTTACATTGTAACAGGAGCTCAGCTTATCAGCAAGGGGAAGTGGCCCAAGACAATACTTCACCTACGCCTGCAGTTCACTCACTTGCCCAATTGTACCATTCGAAGAACCGAATGGGCTGCTGCCCCTGAAGGTTCTCGCAAGTCGACTTTCCTCACCAATCTAAGCACAACATTTACGTTCACACAGAGAGCTGCTGCTGATAAAAAGAAGCAGGTCCCAGGTGCTCTGAACTCTGGTGTCTATGGAGAGGCGCCACCAGTCCCGGTTCGATCCAAAAAGCTTCTTAAATACGTCGATACGTCTGAGGTGGTAAAGGGCCCACATGATACTCCAGGACATTGGCTGGTAACGGCTGCTAAGTTGGTAACTGAGGGTGGTAAGATTGGTTTGAATGTAAAGTTTGCATTGTTAGATTATTGTTGATACAACAGTTGAATGTATAGTGGCATAGGCTTCTATTTCATTGAAGGGACTTTCTCACAATTTTGGTGTGGCATACTTAATGTCACATGATGCATTGGATTTGTTTGCTGTACAAAGGAACAGTCGAAGTTAATGAGGGATTACCGGTCTGTGTTGAGTGTTTTTATTTTTATTTTAGTGTGTTTTGGAATAATTTGTTGAAAATTAATAATTTAAAGTGTGTTTAAACAATTGGTTAAGGGAAATCTAGAAGTTTAAAGCAAATACCAAGCTACAAATGAACTTCAAATTCAGACGTATGAGAGTGATCAATGAGTTTACATACAGTTCTTCACGGAATCTCCAGCTCCCTGGAAGAAGAAACAAGAAAGGGTGAAATCAGCAATAAATATGCCTACAAGAGAGATGACTACGGCCGAAGTTGTGGACTCCCCGACTCCCTTAGCGCCCCCGGAAGTCGTAATACCCCAGCCACAGCTTACAATCGATATGATAGCTCCGAAAACCTGCGATTTGATCATCGAGCTGATAATATCCCATGACTTTAGAGCTCTCAGAGCTGAATCAAAGATAATGTTGATGCTAACACCATAAACGCTGTCAGCCAAAAGGGCACTTGATGCCATCCCAACTGTGAAACACATTAGAGTTAGAATTGGAAGAGCAATGCAGGATGCTATAACTCTTGGTGTGACGAGATAATCGACAGGGTTCGATCCCAAGACTCTTAGTGTGTCTGTTTGCTCAGAGACTTGCATTGTTCCTAATTCTGCAGCATACGAACTACCGATTCGTCCTGCAACCACAATCGACGTGATCACAGGACTCAGCTCCCTTGAGAATGCCAGTGCTAATACACCACCAACAGATCTGTTCAATCCTAATCTAGTAAATTCTCTAACAAATTGGATAGTAAAGGCCATGCCAACAAACGCAGATGTTAGAAGGCAAACCCCTACAGATCTTGGTCCTACTCTCTCTAGCTGTTGAAGAGTATTTTTCCAATGGACTTTACCCTTTAAAGTCCTCATAATGACCTGCCCAGCCAGAAAAAGAACTGATAGCCCTCTCCATAGATACTTTGGTGGCCACCATTTACTCCACAACTCTCCTTCTATAGAATTAAGCACCGGATTTGAATTGATGTCTTCTGACATTGAGGCAGAAGGGTGCCCATCTTCTGCATTTGGGATAGCATTCAATCTGTTTTTGCACAAAGGCATAGCAAATTTACGAGTCTGAGGTTCCACAAATACAAGTTTAACAAAGTTGCTTGAATGCAAGTTTTGTATATTCTTCCATCCATTCTTTCTTTTAGAGCTGCTTCTGCATTTCAGATTAAAATATCAATTTAGAGCCCAAAATAACAATGAAAAGTTCCATGTACGAGAGAGAGGACAGAGAGAGAGAGAGAGACCTGATTGAGAAGTAAACTAGTGGATGGGGTTGACAAGCTATTTGCATAGTATGTTCCTGCTGTGGAACAGATCAACCAGTTCTTGAGTTCGCTTTGAAAATTAAAGCACTATAAACAATAGAGATTCCAAATCAATGTCATAAACATTTCTTGAACTCAAAACTTAGAGTAATAATCTAAGATTTCTAGCAAGGAACAAAATGAAAACGATTGGGTAACACTGCCTAAAACTAAAACCATTTGATTCCAATGGAAAAAAAAAGGAAATCCTGAACACCAAATCATGTACCAGTAACTTCTTCCCACGAGGCATATCATAAGATTCAATGTAGAAAAGTTAAATAAATTTACTAAGGACACAATAAGTCTCATCCTCCCAATGCAAAGAATTGGGAAAGAACCCTCAAAACGTCGAAAACATTATCAGAGTTTTTCAGTTCAATACAACAGAAATTTAATAGTCCTTTTTGATAAAGTGAAACAAAAATTCAACGAAGCCAGAGTTATGCAACAGAAAAGGCCAAGCGATTCGAATCATAAGAACAAAAACAAATTTCATTTCTCATTGGGGATGGAGAGAGCGAGAGGATGAAGGTAATTAGAAATCAGATTTTGGGTTTAGAAAGGAAATTTACCTCAGCAGCAGTGATTTTCTTCCGTCTTTTGAATGAATCAAACAAGATTCACGCAGCTTTCTTCCTTGTGGATCAGTTCTTCTCCGCGGAAGAAGACCCGCGAAATCGAAGGGAAGGATTGAGGAATCGAAAATGGAACCAGAGAAAGAGAGAATAAAACAGAAGTCAGGGTTTAGTTTAACAAAGAAAAAAAGAAAATGTTTAAAAATGCTATATTTTATTTCATTTCTAAATTTTGAAATTATTAAAAAAATATTATGTAAATAATTTTTCCCCTTAAATAATTTCTCATACGTTAACACGAATTATATCGAGATCTCGTAATTAAAAACCAAATATTTTTATTTTCTTAATGCTCGTGAAAATAACAGTTTAGTTCATGTACTTTTAATTTTACAAAATTATCAGAATATCGATAACGATTGTAGCTAAAAAAAATTTACGAGTGCGGTAGGCGGGTTCTTAAGACCTCTCTTACCGATATACGGTGTAAATATTTATCGCAACATCGTCATGGTCGAGAGCACTCTATATCCTCTTTTAGGAGTTCGTTTAAGGTTCCATATATATATATAGTAAAAAATATTATTAAGATTAAATTTTTAAAAAATATATATCAATATAATTAGAAATTAAATGTGTTCATAAATTACAAAAAAAAAAATTGTTACAATAACCAAAATGAACTCTTTAATATAATGGTTATAAAATTTAAAATTTAGAGAATTAAATTATTATTAAAAATTTAGTTATTACAAAAATAATAATAATGACACATGAACTTAAATTAAAAGAGATCGCATTGGAGAGAGAAAATGGGAGACGTGGAGGCGCTGAAGGAAGAACTGATACTGCAGTGCAGTTTTATCCAACAGTTGCTCCGGCGATGGAGATCGGTTTCTTACACAAGATCAGACCAAAAGAATTTCAAGAAGAAACTCAAGAAGCTTCCGTGGTTATCATCACCAACACCACAGGATCAGATCCCGCGGAATCCACCACTCCTTCCGTTTCTTACCTCAAGGTCCCATCGTTCTTTCTCAAGCCCTTCCGAAAAAGATTCGATTACTGCACCGATAACATCAAGGAAAAAGAAAACTCCATCGAGATCGAGAAGAAGAAGTGGCTCGCCGAAGTTGCCTCCATGTTCTACAAAATCTTCGGCGGAGGAAAATTCTCCGCCTGCGGAATCGGAAGTAAAATCGATGGAGATGATGATGATGATGATTTTTTGAGCGAATCGGAAGCGGGAGAAGATTATCGCGAAGATCGAGAGGAAATTTTCGCGGCAGAATCGAATGGCGAATCTGAAACAGAGAATATAATTCGAAGCGACGAGAAGAGTTCAAGCCAATCGAGACTTCCTACGTCGATCTTAGACCTATTTAGAAAGAGGAATTTCAATTTCAATTTCATAAAGAGCAGAATCTGCAAGGTGAAAAGTGGCTACCGAAACAGAAATCTCAATTACGAGAAAAATCTCAGAAACAATGAATCGGCTATGCTATTTGCAAACCGAGAAAATCATAAGCGATTGTTTCAAATTCCATCGAAAGATCGGAAACAGACGAAGGAAAAAAAATCGACGGCAATCTCATATCATGAAGGCGATGAAAACGGACAACGGCTATGGCAGAAAAGGATTCTAATGGGAGGAAGATGCAAACCTCTGAGGAATACTTCTGTAAGTCTTCGATATGATCCAAATGGCTTCATCTAGCCGCAGATCCTTCCTCCATTGATGAACATTGCAAATGCCAAATTCTTTGAGCATTTTGAGATTCTTCATTTTTAAATCCCCCCATCTTTTTCCCGCTTCGTTTTTTTTTTCTTTCTTGTTTTTTTCTTTGGATAAAATAAAATAAAACTTTTGTATAATTTCTTTATTTTATTATTCACTGAATTTTTTTAAAAACTAATTTTCCTCACTTTTTTCGTAATTTTAAAAAATATGTTGTGCAACAAAAAAGGGTTATTAACAAAATGCTAAACAAGGTAAATTTCAAAATTATAAATTTAAACTTTAAAATGTTTTAATAAATACACTAAATATACAATTAAAATGTTAAATTTTTATTATACATAAAATAATATTTATATTTAATAGATCTTTTTTTTTTTTAAGAATCTATTAAATAAAAAGTTGCAAATTAAAAATTTATTTTTTTTATTATGATGTTCGAGCCACTTGCCACACAACAATTAAAAGGAAACCGTCCAAAGAATACATAGATTTAAACTATTGAGGCTGCCAGTTTGAAAGCTTATGGTCGTTTTGGGACCTGGGTCAAAATCAAATGTTGATATCTGAATTTAGGAGTTGATTATGTAAATCTAAACGATGTTGTTGGTCAAAGTGCTTGTGTGTACGTTGCATCGCCCATACAAGAAGGTAGGTGGCCATCAAAGATATCATGTCATTATGAGGCATCTGAATGTCGTAAACGTAGTGTTGATTATTGGTTAGAGGCACAAACCAGACCATGAAGGTCTTATTAACCAAATGTCAATTTCTAGTCAGAGTTAGCTAAGCGTCGCACATCACGTGCTCGTCACCGTTATAGGTCGGGAGGTGGAGTTATTCTCAAAAAAAGAAAAAAAAAAAACAATAATAATATAAATTAAATACATGAGTTGGGGCTGTCGCAAACAATACAGCTGGGGCCAAGTGTCATTGAATGGTTCTTGTTGAAATATCATGGTTTTCTTTTAAACCAATATTCTCCCTCTTTTTAAATTTATTAAATACTTTTCTTTTTTTAAAATATTTCAATTTCAAATTTCAATCTTCAACGTGTCGGCCAATGTTCTGATGCGACCATTCTTCATATATTTCCCCAATATTTTCCAATTAAAAATAATTATACTTTTTAGTATAATTACATTTTTACCCCACGCTCTTCATTTAACTTCAATTTTAGTCCATAAATTTTAAAATATTATATTTTTATTCTTAGTCCTTCCATTTTCATTAATTAATTAAATAATATGATATAAATTTTTAAATAATTTTATTATTAGCGAAAATAAGTATCCATAAATTTTTAAATAATTTTATTATTAGCGAAAATAAGTATCCAGTAAAAATGAATTAAACTAATCTAAATTAAGTATTACTTAAAACTCGAGAAAATTTAAAATTAAAGGGTAAAAAATGTAATATTAAAAATGATGAATTAAATAGAAATTATAATTAAGACTCCTAAAAATAATATATTTTTTTTACCTCTTGCCTTTCTTAGTATAATTACATTTTTATCCCTTTTAATTTAATTTCAATTTAGTCCATAAATTTCAAAATATTATATTTTTAGTCTCTTCCATCTTTCGATTTTCATTAATTAATTAAATAATAAGATGTAAATTTTTAAATAATTTTATTATTAGCGAAAATAAGTGTCTAGTAAAAATGAATTAAACTAATCTAAACGAATATTACTTAACCCTCGAGAAAATTCAAAATTAAATGGTAAAAAATGTGATATTAAAAATTATGAATTAAATAGAAATTATAATTAAGACGCTTAAAAATATATTTTTTTCATTCTTAAATTTTATTATGAAAAAATTAATTTTAAAATATTGAAAATAATGAGCTTAGGAATTTAAGGGTATTTAATAATAGAAGTTCCATTAGATTATGGTTGATAGATATAAACAATGATGAGTGAAATGAGACAAAATAAAAAAGGAGAAAAAAATAAAATAAAAATGCATTCCCTTAATTTACTGCGTGTAAGTTGCGTTGTCTCTTTTATCTCTCTCGCGGTACGTCCATTCTCCTTCGCTGCTATTTCCTCGACAGAGCATTTGTTCTTCCAAGACCATGTTCAAAAATCTCGCCTCTTCTTCTACTTTCCTCTCCAACTAGCTTCAGATCCGCCATCCTCATTCCACTCTCCGGCGTAACCATTTTCTTCCATTTCTGATCCATCCGCCTTCCTCCTTCTGCGATTGGTATGCTCTTCTATCATTTTACTGCTTTCCTTTCAGATCTTGCGCTTTATTTTTCCTTTTCATTTACATCATCCACAGCTTTGCTATTGATTCAGCTTATTGATCGCGAATGTTTAGTTGGAATGAAGTTTTGAATTGAATTCGGAATACTGTTTTTTTTTTCTTTTTTCTTTTTTTTTTCTTTCTTTGAATTGGCCTCTTGTTGTTTTTGATGATTGATGATCGAAGTTTCCATTGATGTTAATGATCTGGATCCTTGATTCTTGTTCATTTAGGTGAATTTTGGTTTCGTTTGGTTTTGTCGGTGCTTTTGGTTGGAAACTTCCAATTCTCTTCCACCGACTTGAATTTGTTTATACTTTTCACAATGCCAGATGTGGATCATGATTTGTGGTTCGGTATTTCTCGTCCATTCGACTGCTGATGCGTGTATGCATATCTATCCAAGTTTGTAACGTACATTTCGTTGTATACTTACGTGGCTAGCAATGTAGATGAAAATTAAGTTTCCTTCCATGATGTGTTTGATGTCAGATAACCACAATTTGGAATTGTAGTCGTTCTACATGTACTTTCATGTTCATTACTTAGATTTCTAATCTATATTCCAAGCTTTTAAACACTCTTACTTGTTTTCCTCTGAAACAGCCCAGAATATTTGAGGTGAGCTTCACTTGAATTTTAGTACCATCAAGGCATCAACGATGAAGAAGGTCTTTGGTCAGACTGTCAGGGATATGTGAGTGATAATTCACATTTTAATGCTCATATATGACTTCATCACTGCAAGTGAATGTTAGAAATAAAAAATCCTAGCACTGGATGATGTAGAGCCTGTTTGGTTTCTGGTTTATGATTGAAGTGCACAGCTGTAAGGGTTGTAAATTCTATTTGACATGTTTCTGAATTTCAAATGGACGTTTTCTTGCAACATCCTAAATTATTTTTGAAGTTCTAGTTAGGGAAAGTTAAGTTAAAAATATTTAAGAGTTTAAACTGGAAAATAAACATTTATCAGTATATGAACTTTTTCCAACTTTAATGACTTCATTTTATCATACTGTTCAATAAAGCTTTTCCAGCTTCTACTTTATTTTTAGTTGGTATGATTTATAAATGTTTGAAGTTCATAGAAGAGAGTAACTTGTAATTTGATCACGGTGTAAATTATAAAGATTACATAAGACAATTTATTAACTGTAGTGTTAATAGAATATACATTATAATTCTAAATTATCAACAATTATTTGGAAAGGTTGTTGTACTTTAGTTGGGTTTTCTATGGTCAAAATTTCTATATTAGTTTTTTAACTTTTATTTAATCATTCTGCTGTAGAAAGAACAAAGAATGTGATGTGGAAAGAGTTGTGAAATGTGAAGTTATGGTAAATTAGTGCATCTTAAATTTCCAAAAAAAAAAAAAGAAAAAAAAAGAATGAAGGTCTATATGATTTATGATACAGAAACTAGTTTTGCAAATATTAAAAACTAAGAAAACAAAGTTCTATCTGATAGGTTCTTAAAAAGTTCAAATTCATGTTAAATAATGGTGTTATGAAACTGTTTTCGGAACATATAGTTTAAAGAATATTTAAATGATGAAAGCTTAACGATTAGCTTTACTTTAAATTTATGCTTTTTTATACTTCTTGAAAAGTCTTGTAGTACTCTAACTAAAGACACCAGCAAAAGACCCTACAACCATTCTACCGAAGTACCGAAGCTTCTCCTCCCATTCTTAAACGATCTCAAGCCTCAAGGAGAGACTCTACAAAACTTCTAGGCATAATACTTGTGAATTAGATATTTTAAATCAAACATGCTTTTAGTTTTAAATCAAGAATTCTATATTAAATGTTCTCTGCAAATTATAGATTCGATTGTCTATGCCTATTCTATAGAATCAATGTGTTCCATGCTTCAAAAAACCTTAAAATGATAACAAAACTTTTCTGTTATTCTTTTCTTAAAAAATTAATTTCAGGGTCTGTGCTTCGATGTTGGTGTTTTCCCTCTCTTTGTATGCTTGATTACCTTTTTGAATGATGTTCACTTAAATGGCTTTGTATTTCATTTTCTTGCAGCAAGAGAGAGGTCAATAAGACGGTGCTTAAAGTTCCTCGATTGGAGCAGAAGGTTTTTTTTTTTCTCCCTTAATGATTTTCTTTTGCTCTTCTCTGATAGATTCTCCTTGTAGGTGAAAATCGTTTGAAATGTGATACCTGGTCATTTAAGACTTCTAACTCTGACAATAAGATCATTTCCTGCCTGGCAGGTTCTTGATGCTACTAGCAATGAGCCTTGGGGCCCCCATGGAACACTTCTTGCAGAGATTGCTCAAGCAAGCAAAAATTAGTAAGCATCACATTTTCTCTTCTTTTTGATTGAAAGTGTTACCTGATTTTCATGAATGATTTCTACTACCCACCCTGAATTAGAAGAGAGCTCATTCTAAATCTTAATGCAGTCATGAGTGTCAGATGATCATGGCAGTTATTTGGAAGCGTGTTAATGACTCTGGCAAAAATTGGCGGCATGTATACAAGGTTTGATTTCTGTCATTTGATATTGGCGCACATGTGTGCGAACATAATCTTTCTCCCCAGTTCATTGTCTTCACAGGGGAAAAAAAATGTTATCTTCCATCAGTTTTTGTCATGATTTTTGGAAGTCCTTAAAGCTTGATTATATTATTCAGGGAAAAAGAAATCTTGATTTTCTGTTTCTTGCGTTCTTTGAGGGTACAGTTCTTTTAAAAGAAAATATGTTGTGCTTCAGGGTTTAACTGTCTTGGAGTATCTGGTGGCTCATGGATCCGAACGAGTAATAGACGAAATCAAGGATCATGCATACCAATTATCAGTAATACAGTTTCTTAGTTCTTTGTAACTACATGTTTTATTTAGTTTTCTCCATTTCTTTGGATGTTTTTCTAATTTCTTAATCATTTTTTTTCCCACTATAGGGCTTGTCCAGCTTTCAATATATTGATTCCAGTGGAAGGGATCAAGGATCAAATGTACGAAAGAAGTCGCAGAGTCTTGTGCTGCTAGTGAATGATTCTGAAAGAATCAGTGAGATTAGGCAGAAGGCTAATACTAACAGGGACAAGTGAGTGTAGTCTATATCTGTGTATATATATATATATATATATAACGCTCCATCTCTTTTCTGCTTCTTTCTCTATTCAATTTCTCCAATTTTGTCTATATAGCAGAAGTGTCTGTGATTTTAATGCCTGCAGGTTATTTACTTAAAGTTTGGCGATCAATCTTGTATGATAATATGTTTGTGAATCATGTTCAATGTTTTCTTCTCCTTTCTTAGTCTTCAACTTTGTTTAATATTTTTTCCTTCAGAATCTGCATCTTTATTGTGTTGTCTGTTAGCTTCTCAAGCAAACTTCTCTCTGTCAAATATTGTAAGAACAGCATGAGCCTGAATTTTAGCCTGGTGATTTTGGAAATTAAATAGAAGTTTTGGCATGAAAAAAAATCTGTCATTTGTTCTTCTTTCTTTCTTTCTTCGGTTGTCTTCTTCTTCTTCCTTCCCCCTTTCCTCATGCATTTTTAAAATTAGGTTAGCTCCTTATAATTAGTTTAACGTGGTTGTGCTCAACAATAAATGCATTTGTATGACTGGATAGGTTTCGAAGTGCATCATTAGCTGGTGGAGCATATAGGCCAAACTCCAATGCTGGGGGGTATGGAGACCGTTATGATGATGATTATAATGAGGGACGCTATAGAAGCAGGGACGAAGATAGGAATAGCAATGGTTATGGAAGGGAAAGAGAATATGACTATAGAGCTGATGACCGCGGGAGGAATTCTGACTCAAATATACGTGATAGAGATCAATATAGGAGAGATGGTGAAGAACGCTATGGAAAAGATAGTCCCAGGGATGGTGATAGTTGGGGACGAAGAAGTGTTGATGATCACCGATATGGTTCAAGAAGGGATCAAGATAATGATCACGATGACAATGCACGGTATGTATCATGTGTTATTGAATTATTCTTTCACTATTATGTAAAGGAACCCCTTTTCTGAGATAAGAAACATCAAAAAGGTAAAAGAAAAAAAAAAGGTCAACAGCTAAATAACACAACCTAAAGGATAAAGAGACAGGAGTTCCTTCTCCAAAAAATAAGGGGTGAAACAAAAAAACTCTAATCGAGGTTGGTAAGAGAAACAAGGTAATTAAGGAAAAAAAAGTGACGAGCACGCCAATTAGATAGATTGAACCAGACAATGTCAGAAATGTGATCAAGAGACTTTGGCTTGTCAGAATCTTCTTACATTTCTTTCCTTCCAAATGGACCACAAAATAGCTCCAACGGCACTAGACCAAATCACTCTGGCTTTGTCCTTGACACCAACTAAACAAAATCTCAGGTAACCAATCTTCTGAGAAATTCGAGCAGTACCTAATTAAACTAAACTAAACACTTACAAAAAAAAATTCCAGACCTTCGATACAAGTTTACAATGAAAGAGTGGGAGAGGGTTTCCTCCTTACTGTTACACAAAAACTGGGGGGGGGGGGGATAGGTGAATGTAGGAGTGCCTCTTCTGAACCTTGTCTAAGATACTAATGCTGTTGAGAACTACTGTGCAAAGGAAAATTTTGATATTTTTAGAACCAATTCCTTCCCAGATCACTCTGGTGTACAATTTTGGCATGGGTTGTACTTAGCCTGTATTTCTTTTTCTTGCAGTGATGGTAGTGGAAGAGGTGATGACAGGTCTCCAGACGTGAGGTAATTCTTAAAAACTTTCATGGAATAGTGTGTTCAATTGAGTTCTATGAATTGAATTATGAGTTGAATCTCTTTTGGCAGGCGGCATGATCATAAATTTTCAGAGCAAGACACTGGTGCACCTCCTAGTTATGAAGAGGCAGTGAACGAGTCTCAAAGCCCACCAGCTCATAATGATAGGTATTAGTTTTCTTCTGCTCAATTCTATTTCTAGTTTTAGCAGTTTTAGTAACTGTTTAGTCAACTGGACATCTTTTATTGGAAAGGGACCAAGAAACCTCAAAGTCTGCTCCTGCTACTTCATCTTCGCCTGTTACCAGTGCAACTAGCCAGTCAAGTCCCGTTCCTGGTACTCCAACATCTGGAAACCAGTTAATTGGGTCCTTTGATGCATTTGATCCTCGCAGTTCAGTCACAGGTGCACAAAACCTCTGTTAGTTTTTAATGCTATTAACCTCAGGTTGACCCCATTTAAATCTAGCTCTACCCAGCATGTGTTATCATCATTTAAGAGTTTGATTGTGATAGCGGCATTTACTGAGGAATATTAATAGTACTAAGGGCTTAAAGTTAAAACTGGGAGTTTTAGATTTCATTTTGATAGGGAAGAATCTCCCCCTCCCCTCTTCAGTATTGTGTATTTTGGTTTTCATAAGGTTGCTGGAATTGGTGATGACAATATTGTTATCTACTTCACGAGTATGACTTGAATTGTACATATCGTGGATAGGTAGTATGGTTTACTCAATTGCCTCTGTCACAGCGACATCATGTTTTTTCATAAAATATTGATTCAGAGGGCATATTTTAAATGATGAAGGTTCTTGGATGCTGTATACAATGAAGTGTATGTAGTTATAGGTAGCCTACTTCCCACGGTCACCATTTTAACGTAGTATAGTAGTTATACATGAATCGTGCTATGCAATAAACATCTCCTCTGTATCCTGTTTCTATGCAATTTTTTTAGTATAAATTAAATGCATAATTCTGTAGAAAGGTTTTGGATCCCAGTCTGATATACTGTAAAGGTTACTTACATATCGACATAAAAGTGTTCGGCATGGTAGAAAAAGTTGATGTACAAGTCTTTTTGCATACCATCCTATCAAAGATAATCCAACATGGGTCTGTTAAGGATAATCCACTCTTTTGACTCAAACCAAACTATAAGTTATCTTACTTTGTTGGTTCTTGGCACTAAACCACAGGAACTTCCCCTCTTTTTTCAGCTGCTCCAACTGTTCCACCAAACAATACTGAGATGGACTTACTTGGCTCACTGACGGATTTTCCTTCAAACCCATTGGCCATTATGCCAGTGGCATCTGCAAACGTGACTGGAGCCTTCGAGCCTGATTCCCACATGAACTCTGGTGCAGGAACCTCGCACGCTATTATGTCAGTAGCTAGTGTCAGTAATCAGGTATATGATGGTGCATTTTAAGTTTTTCATTCAGTGTAGAAGTGCCCACTCTGATAAAATTACATATATACATCGTTCCCTTTGGTTTTCCATTATCTGTCACAACTAAACGGACATTTTTCATATATTTTTCTAATCAAACACATAAAAGATAGAAACTTTAGTTGAACTGAATCCGTATTGAGCACCTTCGAATTATGTACTTGCAGAGTTTTGAAGATCCTTTTGGCGACACTCCTTTTAAAGCTATGCTTTCTGATGATGGTGCCCCTCAATTCCATTCTTCTGCTATGACAGATTCTCTCCAGTCTTCCCTGCATCAAAGCCTTGGTCAACCCCAACCTTCTTCCATGACAGATCCTCTCCAGTCTTCCCTACACCAAAACCTTGGACAATCTCATCCTTCTACTATGACAGATCCTTTCCAGTCTTCTCTGCACCAAGGCCTTGGACAATCCCAAGGAGCTACACCGGAAACAAACCAAGTCTCTACTTCTGAATTTAGTAATGGATTTTCTGCTTCAACTGGTGCATCTGGCTTATCCAGTTTGCAAGCACCATCAGACCCACAGTTTCTTCCAGGGCCATCCACTATTCCAGAACCCGAGATCGATATACTGGCAGATATTCTACCTCCTTCTGGACCTCCATCTAACACAGCATCCCTGCCAACTTATTCATTCCCCAGCGACCAGCCTGCGTTGCCTACTCCCTTCTCAGATCCTGCTCAACCTCACCAAACTTTTACAGCTTTAAGCAATCAGCCTTCAAAACCAAATGATTGCTCCGTCCTTAATTTGCAACCCCAACCAGGAACTACGGCACCTTTGTACTCAAATATGGCTTTCCCGCCTCAAAGTGCACCTACTGGACAGCTTGGATATGGTGCCCCACAGGGAGGATCTACAGCACCTGCTGGTCAGTTAGGCTATGGGCCCCCACAGGGAGGATCTGCAGCACCTACTGGACAGTTTGGCTATGGGATGGCCCCACAGGGAGGATCTACAGCACCCACTGGACAGCATGGCTATGGGGTTCCACAGGGGGGATCTACGGCACCCAGTGGACAGCATGGCTATGGGGCTCCACAGGGGGGATCTACGGCACCCAGTGGACAGCATGGCTATGGGGCTCCACAGGGGGGATCTATGGCACCCACTGGACAGCACGGCTATGGGGCTCCACAGGGGGGATCTATGGCACCCACTGGACAGCATGGCTATGGGGGTCCACAGGGGGGATCTATGACACCCACTGGACAGCATGGCTATGGGGGTCCACAGGGGGGATCTACGGCACCTACTGGACAGCATGGCTATGGGGGTCCACAGGGGGGATCTACGGCACCTACTGGACAGCATGGCTATGGGGGTCCACAGGGAGGATCTACATCTCCTTTCTATCCACAGATGGCTTCAACAAGCAGTTCAAATCCGCAGGCTAATGGTGGTGGAGGCTATTTTATAGAGAATATAGGGTCTGCTGCTTCTGTTACGACACAAATTGCTCAGCAAAATCCAAGTGGGCCAGCTGCTCCACTTGGCAGTGGAAACATGCAGCATCATGGCGTTACATCCCAGCCATTAGCTTCACATGGAGCTTATCAGGTACAAAATGGACATGCTGCACAGCCAAGGAGTGATGATTTTCTGGGCAGCATTCTTCCGCAAGCTGCGCCCCCTCAAGTTCCGTTACAACAAGGTTTTCCAACCTTAACAGATTCACTTTCAATAGCATCTCAACCGTCTAAGGGCAAGTTTGAGACAAAGTCAACAGTCTGGACCGACACTCTTAACAGAGGGCTAGTTGATTTGAACATATCTGGCCGTGAGTTCGTGCTCCCTCAGATTCTTACTTGTGTATGTATGCATCATATCTGTTGTCTCTGATGGTTAACTAAATATGTTGCTCTATGTGCAGCTAAAACAAATCCACTGGCAGACATTGGAGTGGATTTTGATTCCATAAATCGGAAAGAGAAGAGGATGGAAAAACCTACTACAACTGCAGTGACTTCTACTATCACCATGGGTAAAGCTATGGGATCTGGTTCTGGAATGGGCCGTGCCGGTGCGGGTGCCCTCAGAGCTCCATCGAACCCAATGGTGAGTTCAGGTATGGGTATGAACAATGTTGGCATGGGAGGGCCCTACGGAGGAATCAATCAACCCATGGGAATGGGAATGGGTATGGGTATGGGTATGAACAATGCTGGTATGAATCCGGGAATGGGGATGAGCATGAACCCTGGGATGGGAATGAACCAGGGCATGAACCCTGGGATGGGAATGGGAATGAACCCGGGTATGAACCCTGGGATGGGAATGAACCCTGGGATGGGAATGAACCCAGGTATGGGAATGAACCCTGGCATGGGAATGAATATGGGTATGGGACAAGGAATGCAATTCCGACCACCAGGTGGATTTCAGCTGGGATCGAATGCTTCGGGTAGTTATAATCCAATGATGAGTGGGTACGCCCCCCAACAATCATATGGTGGTGGCTACCAATAATAAACCAAGTTGAAGATTCACAAGTGTAGCACCAGTTTTACATGAGAGTGTACCAGATTGGGATGGCCAACTTGATGTGTTGCCATTGGAAGTTCTTCTTCACATTGGACATTTGGTGAAGAGCAAAAATGCTGCCATTTCATTCATTTCTATGAAATCTGCTGGATGCGATGTTCATTTGTTTGATATTCTTTGTATGCTTTAACATTTCTAGCGACATACCCCGAGAGTTCTACAGGTGAGTTGCTTGCTGATCGTATTCTTATCACAATTTGTATACAAACTGAACATCGATAAATGAGAGGATATACCTCGATTTTTATTAGCAACATATAATATATATATATATATATATATATATATATATGTTCAATACACATTATGAACCATACATTTCTCTGATAGATCATCTCTTTTTCAATGTGAGTTCGTACTGTCTTCCACATCATATGACTGGTGCCATGTTGTGTGGCACATCTTTGCTAATCAACAGGGAAAAAAAAAGACCATCTTTGATGTCACCAGATGCCCAGAAAGGTAATGTATGTTTCTTTAGGCAGGTAGGTGTGCAACTTAAATTGGTTATATTCAAGACTGGATTTTCAGGTTCAAGGAAAATAGATTTTCTTAGTTTTTCCTACCCAATAATTATTTGATTCTTTGTCTTCAAAATTTAGATTTTAGTTTTTTTTCTTTTTTTTTTTTTGAAAACATGTTTGTTTTCTCACCATTCTTACAATAATTTTTCATATTTCTCAAGGAATATTTGAATCTTTAACCAAATTTTAAAAACAAAGACAAGTTTTTTTTTTTTTTTCAATGATAAAATAAAACATAGACTAATCTACCTCTGTCATTCTTTTGTTTTCTTATCTAATTTCAATATATATTCATTAAAAATAATTTCAATATATATTCATTAAAAAAAATTTAAGAAGTCTATCTAATTTCAACATATATTCATTAAAAAATTTTAAGTAATTCCAAATAAGTTGGGTCAATTAAATAAAACATCATCAGTTAAATGAACACAACTCTCCCGGTAAATCTCCTCCACAATGATAAATTCAATGATATGATATTGTCCACTACAATAAAATGATATTATGATATTATTTACTTTGAGTTTAATGATATTATTTACTTTGAGTATAAACTCTGATGGCTCCCATGCAATAATACTCATTCTCTCTATAAATCTATAATAATTCCCTCTATAAATCTATAATCATTCTCTAAATATGTATATAATCATTCCCTCCCCAAATTTATAACCATTCTCTAAATATGGCTTAACAATGAAAATAATATTATTCATTTCATTCTCTCAATAAAGATAATATTATTCAATTCATAATATTATTCAACAATGAAGATAATATATTCAGGTAAATCCATAATCATTTACTAAATTAGATGAAATAATCCTTTATAATCCTTTCCTAAATTAGCAAAAATTTAACCTTTGTCACCTCACTGACAGAATCAACAGAATTGCAAAGTTGATACAGATACTTTTCATTTAAATAATACACCGTTCTTCCCCAAGTAGAATTTTCAGTTCTGTTCCAAGAAACATCGTAATCCAAATGGAGAAAACCCTAATCTAAACACCGATTCATCTTTAAAGCTCTCTAACACTACCTCAATGGCAAATCAACACCGCTAACCTTCATTCTGAACGCGAATCACAACTCTAGGGTTTCTAAGCTCTCTCGCCTCTAATTCTCCTCGCCAATTGAATATCCTTCGGCATAATCGTAACTCTCTTAGCATGAATTGCGCAGAGGTTAGTATCCTCGAACAATCCGACGAGATAGGCTTCTGCCGCCTCCTGCAACGCTGCTACGGCGCTGCTTTGGAACCGGAGATCGGTCTTGAAGTCCTGAGCGATCTCTCTAACGAGCCGCTGGAACGGAAGCTTGCGGATTAGAAGCTCGGTGCTCTTCTGGTACTTTCTAATTTCTCTCAGCGCCACCGTTCCCGGCCTAAATCTATGCGGCTTCTTCACTCCTCCCGTTGCAGGAGCTGATTTCCGAGCGGCCTTCGTCGCTAACTGCTTCCTCGGAGCCTTACCGCCGGTGGATTTACGAGCAGTTTGCTTAGTACGAGCCATTGACGCGGTAGCGGGAAAAGGCTTCCGATGAAATTTTTGAGAGCGAAAGACGAAATATGAATACTTCGATGTGAGAAGCGGAAGAGACACGAGAGTATTTATAGGTGATTGCTCGGATGATGGAGGGTAAATGTGACCCGTCGATTGGAGTTTGTGTTTTACGGTTGAGATCATGTTTTGAGTTGAGCACGCGGATCGCTATCCGCGCGCTTTAGCAGGCGGGAATTTGAGAGAGGGAATTAAAATATCTAACCCTCGCTTTACTTTTCGTCCTTTGAAAATCAGTTCTTGTAATTGAACCTTTTTATAATAAAATTCCAATAAAAACATGTTTTTTTTTGTTAACTTATTTGGCTCATATAATTTGATATTCGTAAGTTAATAATCAAACGGGTTGTTTGATATCGACCAATCCTACGTTCATTTCTTGATTTTAAAATATTATTTAAATAAACAATTTCAAGTCTAAAAATTCTATTATATAAGACATAAATAAAAGCATAATTAACAAATACATATTTGTCCACCTACGTATACGTATATAAACAGTAAAGACATATTTTCGACCACAATGTTATACGTGTTGAAAAAAATAAGCCCATAAAAAACCCCACAAAAGAGTAAGTGAACTCTAAATCGAGATTAGATTAGACACCTCTTTCCTAATTTTTTCTATCCGACCTGATGGTTGAAGTTCCTTGTTCCTAGTTTCTCGAAGGACATTTCTTGTATGCATGTTTGTCGTGCTCGGATTCTTCATCGGCGATGTCAGCTCGACGTTGATCTTCTTCTTTTTCACCCCTGCATTTAGAGATAAGAGTTCAGAGTTTGTCTAGCACTATTAGATAAGTGCAAAATGTAATAACAATGGTTTTGTGTAGCCATTAGACGGGAAAAACATCTTCTATGGCTAAAGTTGGCTATAAAAATGGCAGATTCTCAAAACTTTATCAGTAACCATCATTTAGGTAATCATCTATAAACGCTCCACGACTTGAAGGAATGATAATGTGACGCAACCTGAGATCGTTCGAACCGAAACTTTTCGAGCAGTATATATATGTATTTTACGAGCAGATTCTAAGAGATGGGTGGAAAATGTAGATCAAGAGAGATTACATACACAGAATAAATAATAAGTCCAATGACAACAACAGCAAAGGCCAAGTAGTAAAGCCAATCAACCTGCAAAAAATGACTAGATTTAGACAAACAAAACGTCCGATATGACTCGTGAAAGAAAAGAAAAGAAAAGAACGACGTGATGGTGACGAATGACCACGAACCATCTCGTTATATGCGATGACACGAATTACAATCGACCACATGTCCGAGGTCAGTAAAGAGAGGTTCAACATTGTGGATCCGCTAACCTGCCAAAATGCATACTTTTAGAACCAAATTCTAATGTAAGATGTGCTAGAGATCTAAAATACTAGCAGACTATTTGGGAGATGCTGAACCATTCAGCCATGAACTTGCATAATATTGATAAGAAATATTCCAATCCATACCTGAAGCAGTACAGGGACAAGCGAGTAAAACATGAACATAGCCACAGAAAATCCAGCAAAAGGAATTGCCTGAATGAAATAAGATAGAAAACAATAACAATCGAGTATCAAATTATAGGAGAGATTGAGTATAGTTCAAGCCCGCTAGCAGATATTGTCCTCTTTGAGTTTTTCTTTCGCACTTCCCCTCAGGATTTTCAAAAAGCGTCTGCTAGGGGAGGTTTTCATACCCTTATAAAAAATACTTTGTTCTCCTCTCCAACTGAGGTGGGATCCACAATCCACGCCCCCCCCCCCCCCCCCCCC